ATTTAAACTATCTAATTTCTTTATTTAAAAAATTATTTCATAGATGGTAAGTTATTTATTTAATTCTATTATTACTTATTGTTATAATATTTACATATAATTTAATCTAACTAATTTCTTTATATAAAAAATTATTTATTATTTAGCCTGTAAGTATCTCTATTGTTATACTGTATATTTTATATATTTATTTGTTAATTTAATTCTTTCATTTAAAAAATATCTATTACTTTAGTTGGTAAGTTGTAAATTATAGATTATTAATGTATTTATCCAAAAACTAAGACTTGTATTACATTAAATTCCTATTTAAATTTTAGAGTAAGTAATAATTTATTTTGTATAAATTATAATACAACATACATTAATTATTTAAATTTATAGATTTGGGAAAAGTGGAAATGCAATTATAGATGATCTTATTCTTGAAAAAAAATTAAAATGGATTCCTTATAACAAATTTAAAAATGTTGAATATCTTGATGAAGCAGGATTTGTTACTATATACAAAGCTACTTGGTTAAAGGATAATGGAGATAAAGAAGTAATTCTTAAATGTCCCAAGAATTTAAATGATAATTTAAATGAAAATTTAAATGAATTTTTAAAAGAAATATGATAGTATATTATTTTCTATTATTAATTTAAATTAAAATTTTTTTATATTTAATAATAATTATTATTTTTTATAGTGGATATGTCATACAAGTGTTTTGACTTCAAATGATATTATAGATGTTTATGGATTCACAGAAGATCCAAATACTTCAAAATATAAGGTAGTAATGGAGTATGCAAATAAAGGTAATTTAAGAGAAAATTTAACAAGAATAGTCAAAAATAATTGGAATCAAAAGTTATTTATGTTATATGAAATTATTTCTGGACTTAGTGAAATACATGGAGAAAATCTTATTCATTGTGATTTTCATGATGGTAATATTTTAAATCATAATGATAAGGATAAGGATAAAATTTATATTAGTGATTTAGGATTATGTCAACCTGTAAAATCGTTTTTGAAAAAATATGATATTTATGGTGTTATACCATTTATGGCACCTGAAGTTTTAAGAGGCAAATCTTATACTCCAGCTAGTGATATATATAGTTTTCTATGATTATGTGGGAATTTACATCTGGGATACCACCATTTAATAATAGAGCACATGATCTTCAACTTAGTTTAAATATTTGTAAAGGTGAACGACCTGAAATTATTGAAAATACTCCACAATGTTATGTAAATTTAGTAAAAAAGTGTTGGAATGAAGATCCATTAAAAAGGCCATCTACTTCAGAAGTGAAAGATGTTATTGATGATTGGATTTTCCGTCCTGATGAAATTAATGAAGAATTAAAAAGCAACATTATGGAATTTATAAATGCATCAATTGGGCGTAACAATCTTGCTACTAAATCTCATCCTAATGCATGTTATACAAGTCGCTTACTTGATTTTACTAGTAAAAAATTGAATGAAATTCTTGAAAGTGAAAATTTGAATGATTGTGCAATTAAAGATTTGAGAACATTAGGTAGTATATACTGTACTATAATATATAAAATTTTAATCTTGCAAATTATTTATATGAAATTAACTAATTTACTTAATTATTAAAGCAGTTGAGAATACTGATAAGTTGGATGAAATTCTTGAAAGTGAAGATTCACAAGCAGCAAATGAAATACTAGTAAGTGAGTGATTATATAATTAAGGATTTGAAGTCATTAGGTATGTACAGTACTATGATATATAAATGAGTTAATCTTGCAAATTATTTATGTTAATTTTATTTAATATTTAATTATTAAAACAGATGAAAATTAATTAATCATTGTTTGTTTTTAAAAAATTTATGGTTTTTTTTAAGTGATATTTGATATTACGCATTCAAAAGAAATTGTTCTTTATTTTATTCTTTTTAGATTTATTTAAACACTAAGGCTAGTGTAGTAAAATATTTTACAAGTTTCTTAGTTTGTAATTTAAATAATTCATTTTTTTTTTAGCTTTTCACTTTTTTTATTATACTTAGAATTATTTAAACACTAAGACTAGAGTAGTAAATTTTTTACAAGTTTCTTAGTTTGTAATTTAAATAAATCATTTTTATAACTTTTCCAATTACTATGAGATATAAATTATCAAAATAATAATATAAGGCTATTATTATTTGGCGACCTTGTCACCATGGTGACCCACCTCATTTCATATGATTTTTAATTTTTCCTATACTTTATTTTTTCAATATTTATTATTTTAATTAGTATTCTTAATACTTTTTTTTTTATGTGTAAAAAATTGAGAAATCATTAATAATAAACAAACAAATCAATGAATAAAGAAATAAATGAGCAAACAATAAACGAATGATAAATAAATGAATAAAAGCAATAGAAGCATGAATAAAACAGACAAAACTATTAAAATATAAGAAATGATCACAATTTGTATACATTTTATTGAAAATTTAACGTGTATATGTTATAAATGACGTCATATATATATTGTATGAAATAATATATGGTCGCACTAAGTGATGATTAGGTGATAAAAATGAGAAGTATTTATCGAGAAATATCTCAATATCACGTGATTCAATCGTTTTAGCTAAGAATATCATGTGAAATAAAAAAAATTGTCTAGCTATATTTATAATATTTCAAATTTATATTAATTTGACAATAATATTCCTAAACTGTAAATAATTTATAATAAATTTCATGAAATTTTTAGCCGTAATATTATTCCATAAAGAATTGATTGAAAAGTTTTCATATGATCATTAATTTATTATTTATTTTTATTTTTATTTTTATTTTTTGCAGTAAAATCAAGTATTTTTGCAAATCATTTTTGTAATTTGATTTCGGGAAATTGTCATGTCGAGAAATTACCAGAAAAGGTTAGGAAGATGGATGTTGAAAAAATCGTGCCGTAACCCAATCCTGGACTTAATTTCAAGGAAAAAAGCTTTATTGAATAATTGAAGGATGGTGTTAAAAGTTCATAAACCATAACCATACCGTTTATTAAGTAAAAAATTTCTAACGATATAAACTTATGATCATTTCTATTTATTACAAAATGTTTTTTATTAAATACTTTAAAATGAAATACATTACTATAAAATAATTATTTTTGATAAAATATTTAATTAACAATTAAAATGTTAACATTGTAAATTGTGGTAACATAGTATTCATATTTTAAAGTTAATTTTTACTATATTTACTGCATTTTTATAAGATTCGTGTCTAAAATCTTTAATTACTCCATCATTTTTATATTTATTAATCAATTTCACATAATTTTCTGCTTTATAAGCAGGGTTAGTAATTGTAAGTATAGAAAGTGCATGACCTTTCCATTTTCCTAAGAATTTTTCCAAGACTTCCAAAGAAAAATTAAAATCATAAAGAAATACAATTTCTCTTAGATTAGTTGGTGTTGATTTAATTAATATTTTTAATAATTCTTCTCCATTATTTAAAAGTTTTCCTTCAGTTTCTATTTCATTCATAATTTTATATATTAATAATGTCTTCAAATTTTGACAAACTTTCAGTAATTTTTCAATTTCAATGAAATGATCCATTGATGGATAATATGGAAGACACAAGTACTCAATTGAAGAACAATTTTTATAAATTTTACGAATAAGAATGAGAGAGTACTCTTCAAAGTTATCATGATGGAATCTATGATTATAATTTTGGTCGATATAAATTTTCTTTAGATGTTCTCCACTATTTTCAATTATAATAGAAGCTGCTTTTAATTCATAATGATTTATATATAAAATCTCAAGATCACGATAAACACACATTCTTAATTGATCCTCATTAAAATCATTAAAACGGTTGATTATCAACGTTTTTAATTTATGAAAATTTGGAAATACCTTTTGCAATGTACAATCAGGATACATGAAGAATAATTTTAGGTGGTTGATATTATCTGCCTTTTTTCCTAATGCAAGAAGAATTTCTTTATAAGGATTTTTTCTAACATTAGAATTGGTAGAGATATCGTTCCATTCAAAATACTTTAAATTTTTCTGAACTTCAATTAATTTAGTAATTCCAAAATCAACTTTTGAAAATATATTATTATCAATGATGAGTCTCTGTATATATTGAGAAAAATGTGCTAAGCCATAAAAGAATGAAGATTCTGTTGACGTGTCACATTTTAATTCGCAAAGTGATTCAAAACGAAATCTACTAGCCTCTGGAAAATAAAATATTTGATGTTTAATAGATTTCAAATCCAAATACTTTAATTCTAGAAATTTCTTCGTAAAGAGATCATAAAATTCTCGTTGTAAAAGAAACTGATTATAGGTTAAAGGTGATCCAATACAAATTATAGTATTTATAGTATTTATATTAATACTTCTACAAAAAGATAAATAATCAAATAAAAGTGATTGATATGAAAATGATGGTAATTGAATTCCTAGCTTTGATATGGATTCTTTAATATTATCAGGTAAATAGGATGCAATAATTATAAATAAATAATTTTTATTATTATAATTAATATCGTTATAGCACCAAGGATTCTTCCATAAAATTGGAATCGCATTTTCACACCAAAGTCTATTGACCATTAGACATGAAAAGAGAGATTTTGGATCATCTTGTAATTCTTCAAATATTAAAAAAAGAATATCTTTATTGAGTTTGGACATTCTTTGTTAAAACAATTTCTTATGGCTTAAAGATTATTCTTAAAATATTTGATTGCGCACAAATTTAAAAAAGCAATGAATTTGTGTAATGAAATGACGGAATGATGCTCAAGTAATGTTTCACAAAAACAAACAATATTACGCCAAACATTTGATTTGGCGAAATTTCATCACGTCATGTGATATGGCACATGATGCCGCAGTCTTTTAATTACGAAATTTCATGTGACTGTTTAAGCACCGTAACTGGTAATTTCGTAGTTTTGAATTAATTTAATAAAATTACAGACATTCAGAATTAGATTAGCATCTTTGATTAATTAGCATTAATGTTACTAATAGAATCATCTCACCGACATCTATAGTATATTTTTTTAGAGATGAATCAGTTTGGTTCCAGTCTGGGATTACTACTTGTTAGTTGATCGTGCGTGCATTCCTTTCTTTTTCTGGCGATCAAATTTGGTAAGTATTTGTATTATTTTTTTAAAAAAAATTTTAATATAAGATTTATATAAACTTTATTCTGGTTTTATTTATTTAAATTTGTAGATTTGGAAGAAATGGAAGATAAATTTATTTTTTTAAAAAAAAAAATTAAAATGGATTTCTTTTAATAAATTAAAAATGTTGAATATCTTGATAATGGAAGATTTAGTACTATATATAATGCATAAGTCAATGAATTATTAAATGAAGTATGATATGTTTATTTTTTTCAATTTAAGTTATATTTTATTCATACCAATATATTATTAATTCTCTATAGTGGGAATATCAAAAAGCTTTTTAAAATCATTTAATATTATTAATTTTTATGGAATTACTAAAATCCGGATTTGTATTATGTGATGTTCAGGTCTAATATCTCAAAAAAAAAAAAGAAATTGTTAATAAAATACTAAAAAAAAATCATTTTATTAATAAAAGAAAATTTAGTTTATCTGCTTGCTTTAATATAGGGTTGAATTATAATTAAAAATTGGCTTACTGGATTTAAGCCCACAAATTTCCTTTACCATCTGTTTTAACTAAAAAAAGGATTATTTTTTTTAAATAAAATTTTTTAAAAAAAATATTATGGATTGTTTTAGATTATGTTTTTTATTGATAAATGTTTCTTAACCTGACTTAGTTTAGTTAACCAAAGGTCTTTTAAAATGTAATTATAATTATTATTATTATTTTATGCTATAATTAAGATTTTATTCATAATTTAAAATCCATATCTATTACATTCTCATAAGATTCGCGTCTAAAATCTTTGATTACTTTACTGTCTTTATATTTATTAATCAGTTTTTTATAATCTTCTCCTTCACAAGTATCATTGGATATAAGTATGGAAAGTGTACTACCTTCCCATCTTTCTAAGAATTCCTCTAAGGTTTCCAAAGAGAATTCAAAATTACCACAAAATCTAAGTTCCTTTAAATTGATTGGTGTTGAAATAATTAGTACTTCCAATAAATTTTCTCCATAATCTAAAATTTCCTTACGAGATAATACTCCATAAGGCATACTAAATAATAGCAATGACTTCAAATTATGACAAGTTTTCAATAATTTTTCAAGTTCAGCAAAATACATATCCAACGGGAAAAATATAAGAGATAAAAATTCAATTAAAGGACAAAATTTATGAATATTACGTATGAAATCAAAAGAATTTTTACTGAAGCTATCTATAAACTCTATAAGTTCATAAGGTTCTATCAAGATTTTCTTTAAATGTCCTCCACTATTTTCAATTATAATAGAAGCTGCTTTTAAATTGCAATTATTCATTTTAAATATCTCAAGATCACGATATGTACACAATTTTAATTGTTCTTCATCATAGGAATCAAAACTGGTCATCAATGTTTTCAGTCTATAAAATTTTGGGAATACCTTTAGTGATGAATAAATAATAAATATAAAGTAAAAATTTAAATGGGTAATATTATTTGAATTTTTTTCTAGTGCAAAAAGAACCTCATTATAAAAATCTTGATCTGGACCAGAAGCATGTACTATATCAAACATACTATGATCATCCTTCCATTCAAAATACTTTAAATTTTTCTGAACTTCAATTAATTTAACAACCCCATGAAGATTAGTTGGATCAACATTAATAATGATGAGTTCCTGTATATATTGACATAGCTGTGCCAATCCATAAAAATATGAAGAATCTATTGACGTATCACATTTTAATTCACAAAGTGATTCAAAACGAAGGCTAGCTTCTGGAAAATAAAATATTTGATGTCTTATTGATCTCATATCTAAATACTTTAATTCTGGAAATTTC